CAAATTGTTTTCTGTTTAAAAAAGAAGAGTTAGGGTGGATCTGATATAGGTGTTTAAGATTGTAAAGGGAATTGACAGTGTTGATGCATCATCTTTTTTCAGTAGGACTAGGGGACACAGATATAAATTTTGGCAAGGTAGGAGTGATCTTCAGCTAATAAAGTTTCATTTTTCCAACAGGGTGGTTGGACTTGGGAATGGGTTGCCTTTAGATGTTGTGGAGACAGTACATTTATGTGAGTTTATGAAAAAGCTTGATAAGTATATGAATGATAAGGGCTGGCTTTAAGATTTGTTTTATAATTATTTTAATTTAGATTAGAGGATGGAATGGCTGAGATGGACCAATAGGTCCCATGTTATTGCAGAACATTATGTTATTTTAAAAGAAAACAGTTATAGCACAGAGTAAATGACTATTCAAAATAAGAAATCTTATGACATTCAAGAAACTGAAGTGTGAAGAGGTAAGGCTAAATAACAAGTTTAATAAGTTATTGCAAGTCAGTTTATGATATAGATTCTCTCAGCTAGACAAAAATATTTTAAATATTTTCATACAACCTCGTGAATCTAGAAGGAATAATGTTAAGCTATACCCTCTCCTTGTCTTTTGTAGTTGCCAAGTTTAATACAGATTCATTATCAGATTTTTAAAAATCAGCCAAAAGTAACAGTGAGGTTTAAACTTTATATCAGGATGTATAGCTGGAGCATTATTTAATAACGAAAGTGACATAGTCATATGAAATACATCATTCATGAAAGAGGAAGAAATATAAAAACAAGAATCATAGAACACAAAAGAGGTGTTAAGAACAGAAATAGAAATAATGCTGGTACATGTGAGAGATTTTGATCACCTGTAAACTGGAAATCATCCAAACAAAACAGAAAACTGCATAAATTGAACATTTGCTCAAAGCTGTATAATTAATAGTACCAAAAGTTGACATTTCTCAGGGTCATTTCAAACTCAAAAGTTTTCTCATCACATCCTACATCTTACAGGAAATACAGGACCAAATTTCACCACATAAGGTGCACGTTGAAATGAACCTTTTTCTCTCTATATAAAACATTGTCCAATTGAGGAGGGCATGTGAATGTGCCAAAACTAGTACTGCAGTTTTTGTGTCCAAGTTTCAAAAATGTGTTGATTTTAGATTAGTTTTAACTAATATACATGATATTGTCTACTGCCCCCCACTGGCACAGCAGAATGTCTGCAAACTTACAATGCTTGAAACTGGGTTTTGATACCCGTGGTGGGCAGAGCACAGATAGTGCTTACCCATCTACAGTTTTACATTTTATTGAATCACTTTTAGGCCTACTGACATGACATATTTTATAATACGGTGCATCAGAATGTTATTTGTTTAAACTGTATATTGTATGTTTTTTTGTGTTTTCAGGGAGACATTTGTACTTGGTATGAGAAATAGTATATATTTAAAGACTTGAACACTTCAATGTTACATTTCAGGCTCATCAACAGTCCCGTAAAGCTGATTACTATTTAAGATCAGGAAAGTTCGAAGAAGCCATTTCATGTCACCAAAGAGCAGCAGGTACTGTTTGTGTTTAAAAAAACAATCTCTGAAGTAAGTTTGAAAGCTTTACATAAATGGAAATTGACATTTTAAGAGTAGTGGGTCACAAAAATGTTGTTGCATTAAGATTATCAAATTAATACAGGAAAAATATTTTATCTGTTTTCTAAACTGTAATAAAATAGATAGAATTTCAGATTAAAATTTGTTTGTTTTTTGCTGTGTGAGTTCTAAATATTTTTAATCCTAGTTTACATAATGTTTATGTATATAATACACAGATTGCTAGTATACTGTAGGTATCAGAGGTTCTTATATATATGTATGCATAAAATGCAATTTATTATGCAAAAAATTTCTTTTACCTTTTTTTTTTATTACAAATGCGACATACACATGAAATATGCTTGGCTTATATTATGATTTTCTAATTTTGTTTTAATTGATCTATTAAGCACCAGTAACTTCGAATAAGCTAACTTTTTGAGATTTGATTACTAATAAGATTTTAATAAACATTACCTCTTAGATCTATTAGATGATGCTTTAAAACAAACAAGTTCTGATAAAGCAAGAGAATCATTGGTTCTACAGAGGGATTTCCATTTTCGACAAAAAGCTGTAGTTCAGTACAAACAAAATCAACAAGATGCCACAAAGAAGGCTGCAGAAAACTTGAAAGCTGATGTGGCTCGATTGAAAACTGCCAATGAAGAGGAACCACCGGGAGAACAGCATCCATTAAATTCAGAGAATATACAGCTTGCTATATTTCGAACAATGGCAGAAAATGATTCACTGCTTCAGTTTCTGATTCAGCCTAATGTTACAACAAATAGTGAAACTGTTAATTCAGACTGTGTTATGGAATCAAAGTCTTATGACAGCATCATCCGAGGTGCAATAAAAACACCTAAAGATGATAAAACATTGATTGAAGAGTTGCGAGTAAACAATGAAGAATTAAAGAAATTAGTTCAGCAGTTAATAGGAAAATTAGAGAAAGCATCACAGGAGAACCAAAATCTTCGAGTCACCATTGAAGATTTACAAAGAAAAATTGTAGGTCAAGGAAGTAGAACTCTACAACTAATGGCAGATCGAAATTCTCCTTACCAGTTTTCTCCCATCAGCGATTCAAGTCCTGGTGGTGGTTTAAGAGAGCTTCCAGCTTTAGCACCATTAGAAATCCCAAATTTTGACTTCACTTTATTAAGAAGTGAAGCAGCAAGACAAAGTTTATAAGGTTAATTTATATGTTCAAGTATTTTATTTCTGATGAACTCATGATTCTTGATATACAAATTATTGTATTTGTATCAATATACGAACAATGTATTAGTTAATAATAGTCTACTTAAAATCAATTAAGAAAATTAGTAAATGCTTTAAAATTAGAAAAGTGTTAATACTCATCTTGAACTGAAAATTATATTGATAAAAATTTTCAGAAGATATAAGGATTTTTATATAACTTGATGGGTACAAAAAGTGCAAATTCTTGCTAACTGTGAAACGTGTTAAACTTGTTTATACTAGGATTTTTTTAAGTTATGCTAATTGTGAAAAAGATTGCTTCAAAACCTAAAACGAGCAATTACTTTTCACAAAACAGAAATTTTATATGAAATAACAAAAGTAAAAATCTCTGAAATGTAATTATGTCAATCTAATTCACACACACTGACTGGCCACTTTATAAGGAAGGCTTCTCTCCTAATACCAGGTGGTATCATACTTTACCAATCCTTCACATTTGATGGGCGCCATCACACTGATGCTTGCTAGTGGCCGAAATTGAGTTTTGTGAGGGCTTGTTAGAGCTCCCATCAAGTCTGTCATGATGCCAGCTGTTTTTGGCCATCTACTGGTCCTTTTATTCGTATCAAGAAATAAATACTTTTGAATTATATCTTAATTTTTTGTCTTGGCATTGGTTACACAATCAAACATTGTTTGTATATATTGACAAGATCACAAATAACCTCTTGTGATCTTGATGGCTGATGTAACTCCAATACTTTAATTTTAGTTGGCCTAGACATGCAATGTTATACACATTGTAATATAGCATTTTCAAACTATGTTGTTGTATATAGATATCAAATATTTGTAATTGAAAAACTAAGTCAAAGTTTTATTGTTTAAATTACAAAATTAAATATTAACAAATTCAGACCAGTAAGAAGAGTTTTAGTAAATATGATCATGACCTAAATTGCATTTGGTGAACTATTTCTGCATGACACACGACCTCAAGGGCTATTGTATTGATTGGAGGTCATCGTACTTCAGTGGCATACTGCAGACATGTCTCACTTTAGCTGGAAAAACTGTTTTGCTGATAGAAAAACAGTACAATTCAGTCAATACAAGTAACTTGAGATATGGCATCAGCCTCCTAACAGACCCCATGGACTGTTTGATGGGGGCTGTTTACAACCTTATATTTTCAAATGTGAAGGACTGCTTTACTCTGCTAATATTCTAAACTTAGCATGACATAGTTTTCAACAAGATGACAGAAGGTATTTTGTTCATTTGTAGCCTGTGGTATACAATTTTCTAATGAGATGTCAGCACAAGATTATAGTGGCAGAATTAACTATCACATTCTTCAAACCTGTTTCGTCTTGGAAAAATCCTTGTGTGTTAACGTGGAAATGTAGCATTATGAAGAAGACAAATAATATTCTGTAGCACTGGATGCTACTTGCCATTCTGAAAAAATTAAACACCCTAATCTCTGTTATAAAAATGTTCCCCATATCATTTACACTATCTACAGGAATTTGCACTTTAATAACAATACATGTACCTCCTCATTGGTTCAGACCATGCCATATGCTTTTAGCATTTACATATGTATTGTCCAGAAGTTGCTCTCTTTAAACACAATGGAAGCTATGCCTTTCTGTTTGTATCTGAAATACATGATTTTCTGAGTTGTTGTTGACTGCTATATGAGAGTGTGATAATTCTAGGTTATACCTGCACAAACATTCTTGATATCTGAAAAACAAGAGATTTGTAGAATTTTGTTACAGCTGAAGTGAAAGAGCCAAGATACTGTGTTGAAATCAAAATAAAAAACTGAGCACTTTATTTCTTAAACTTAAAGCAAAAGAAATTGCAGTATATAGGTGGTCATCAAAGTAGTAGAAATATTGCAGGTATATAAATTATCAAACCTGATCAGTGGTAGAAATAATACTGAAACAAGGGCGGTATTTTCACTGAAAGACACACTTTATTTCTCAAAAGATAGAGCAGATCTGATCTGAGGTTGCCAAAATTGCAGTCTGTGGTTGGCCCATCAGAGAAAGTGCACTGGAATGTGTAGATATTTCTATTTTGTGTAACAGTTATAAGGTATCCTCCAAATGCCATATCATGCAGGGCACAATGCAGCTATCCCATAAAAAACATGTATATCTTTGAACAGGACAAAGATTTGATTTCCACAGCAAAATTTAGTTCTTTTAGAAAGACAAATTTCTTCAATATTGGAGTTGATCTGATCCAAAACTTGCAAACTGTATGTACAGTACACACTTTCTCTATGGCTAACAAGACAATATAAAAGGCACTGGTATGTGAAATATGTTTCATGTGACAGAGGCAAGGTCAAGCAGAATACAATGCAATTATCCCATGAAATAGTGGGTAAGTTCTCTGAGTGATCACGCTACAAAGAGTAACATCTTAGGCTGAATTTTGCACATGATTTCAACCATATCTAGTATGTTCCAAAATTAGAACTTAGAAAAATTTAATAATTTTGCATATAAGAAATCCATACTATGTGAGAGTATGATATGTTTGTGCACTACAATAGTGATGTTCTTTGCATGAAACATTTGGAGATAGTTCAGTACTGTAATGACTATTTAAGGTGTCTATCTACTCATCTTTTCTCTCAGTCAGTCTTCAGCAATTGGTAGCTACAGTGATTTCTACTGACAGACATATTTGTTTTTGATTGCCACCCCCGATACACTTTGATTAGAACATTCCTTCTAGATGGACACTTTCTGTCATGCTGTTTTGTAAGTCAAAACAGGATCTTTTCTTTTACCCTTTATCTACCATTCTGACCTTCACATATTGCATTTATGTAAGGTACAAGTACTCAATATCTATCATGTCCAGTGTGATTTATTTTTTCAAATGTGTTTCAGAGGCTCTAATAAAGTAGTCAGTCAGGAATAGATCATAATTAGTCTTGATTTGGATTTTGCTTTTAAGTATACCTTGGTGTACCTGTTAGCAATCTTAACCTCTATTATAAAATTTATGAAAACTTATTTCAATATATTATTGAGTATTATTATTCTTTAAAATATTGAAATCAGTAGTAGTATTACTATATTTTTATAAATTTAAATAACTGCTTTTCAGTGATATGAGTATATCAGCTTCATGCTTTGTAATAATTTTTCCTTTTATATTTATCACTGAAAAGAAAATTTTCCATTGCGTTTTTAAATGGGTGATTTTTTTCAAATTCAATTTATCTATGATTTTAAGAGTGAAATTAATATAACATTGTTTAGAAATGTCAAAAAAGTAATACAAACTGTTTTAGGAAAATAAAGGGCTGAAATTATTTACAATAATTAGATCCTGTTCGTGTCAAACAATGGACGATAGTTCTAACTTATATTGATAATGTTATCTTTAATCTTCTGCTCTGTTTTCTGTCTTGCCTAATCGCATGTTTTATCTGTGTCACACAAGTCTGTCGCTTTTATTCTAATGCCATATTTAGACAACAGATGACGCAAGTGTCACAAATATCAACTTTAGAGAGCATCGTTGATGTGTGTATATATTATATCGAAATACTCACATCCAGATTGCGACGATCGTGTGTACTTTACAAGTACGAAAGTAATTTTCTATACCACTTAGGTTTTTAAAGGACTTTAACACAAAATTCGATATGACATCTTCCAAATTACCAAACTTTAAAATCAGTATTTAGTATTACTTCAAAACCGTGTTTGCAGTGGGTAATACATTCCATGAAATTGATTATTTTACCCATGCTGTAGCCATCCGAATACATAACAAGGTAATGTTAATATTTCTAGGAGGCGCTCCTTCTCATATTAAACAAATTTTTAAATGAGATTTATTGCAGCCATATTGAATTAGAACTCTTTGAATTCAGTTGTAATTGTTTAATTATTTGGATTGCCGATGTATTGAAAATATATAGTTTTAACGGGGACACTTTTTTCAAAGAATGTTTTACCTTGGCGTACTTAAACTTTGGTTGAAAATATTACATTTGGGAGAAAGAGTTAAGATATTGTTATAATCTATCTATCTATCTATATATATATATATATATTATGCTACAAATAATTCCAATATAAAATAGTTATTTTA